CACGGGTTCAGTAACAATACAAGCAACAATAGCCCCTGCAGTAGGGGTGGATGTAAAGCAATAGCGTAAGGAATGTTCCCAGCTGCAGCAGAAGTGTAGGCTAAACAACAGTATTAACAACGGCAATAGTGCAGCATGAGTGCAGGCTGAAAAAAGATTTCAACGGTAACTGTTGTAACAGGATTGGAAGATAAAGAAGAGTACCAACAATAATCGTTGCAACTTGAAGGGCGGTTAGAAAGGACCTCAAAATTTTATTAAATATTTTACTAACAATAATCTGAGTCTCAAGAAGTCAGGAAAATGTTATCACATGAAGGGTATGCAGTTAAAGTAATCTGTCAGATTTTGTTGCTCAAGTTTCTTGTTGTATCATTGGTATATCAGATGTGATGAATGGTTTGAAAAACCGACAAGTTGAAGATTGAGACACTTATGCAACATATGGGATCTTTATTCAGGAAACGTTTCGCCACATAGTGGCTTCATCAGTCCAATACAAAGTAGAAAGGCGTAAGGAGAGGAGTTTGAGGTAATCAGTCCCTCAGCCTGGAGTCGATGTGTTCAGTCCATCAATCTTGTAGAATGTACAGCATAGGGCCGTAGACGTGGCTTATATACTGTAGACACTGTATACCACTATGACCCAACCTCCTCCTGCTTCACCTCACCTCACTACAGTATATAAGCCACGTCTACGGCCCTATGCTGTACATTCTACAAGATTGATGGACTGAACACATCGACTCCAGGCTGAGGGACTGATTACCTCAAACTCCTCCTCTCTTACGCCTTTCTACTTTGTATTGGACTGATGAAGCCACTGTGTGGCGAAACGTTTCCCGAATAAAGATTCCCATATGTTGCATAAGTGTCTATATCAGATGTGTTTGATGTATCAGACGTCTTCAAGAATAAACAAAAAAATATTCCACGAGTGGCTTACGACAGTGGAAACTCTCCCAAAAGTCTCTGTACCAGGAAGCCTTTTAGCAGTAAGTTTGGAGTTTCTAGTATTTTGAGTGAGCAAGTGAAATATGGTACGAGGAGATGGTAGACTGTCCTGGCTGGCTCCGCGGGGTGTGGGTGGGGGGCAGGTTGGGCTGTCGCCCAAGGGATTGCTCTTGAGGGGGGCTTTTTCCATCAAGTTTAGTCTGGATGGAAGTATAGCGAGGGTTGAGAGGATGGTAGGAGGGAAGGGGTTGGTTATGGTGTGCTTGGGGAAGGCATTGATGTATTGTTTTGCTGTTTGTAGTTGATTGTAAAAATAAGTGTTAATTAATATTAAGGGACTGAAGTTGCTCCTCGGCGAGCCTTGTGTTGTTTTCGGCAGTCATGGAAAAGCATTTGTTTACAACGGGGTACGGGAGTTATTTCTTGGGTGGCTTTAGGTAGAGATCGTTTTGATAAGGACCTGCCTCGTATGGGCCAGTAGGCCTTCTGCAGTGTTCCTACTCTTAAAATATACCACATCATGCCCTCCCTCGCACACTCAAACCCTTCTCCACACACTCATACCCTCACCCATGCTCATACCATACCCCCAAAACACTGGTACCCTTTCTACATATTCGTATCACTCAGAGAAGCGTGTGTCAGCATCCATGGTGTAAGACTGATCATCCTGCTACCAGTACTTTTTTGAAACGTTCTGGGACCAGACTTGAAGCTGTCGCGATGACACACTACATGCAACACGGGCTGTATCCGTCAGGTTGTGATAGCTATGTAGTCCTGCGGAGCCGCTCGCAACAACAGCCTGGTTGATCAGGAAGCCAACAAGGAAGTATGACTCAGGCCGGGCTGAGAAGGTAGAACTCTCGAAACCTGATAAAGGTATGTCACAGATAAACGTCACATTCCAGCAATCCACGACTCTGTGAAGACATAAATACGTTTTTTCCAGGATTTTTCCTGGATTTATAATTATAGTCTCTCGTTCTCCCTGTTAAAGTTCTTAAAATCTAATCTTGTTTTTTATTTAGTGTGTTTGTAGGAGTGAAGAAATAGTGTTTTATTGGCTGTTTTATTACAGAGTAAACTCATGATTCCATTAGTGTTGGTTTATGGTTATGTGGCCTTTCTTGTTTCTAGGACTCGAGGGAGGCAGTGCTTGCGAGAGTGACTTTTGTAAAGTGATGTTCACTATAGTGTCCCATAGATAGAGAGCCAGTAATGGTGTCTGGTAGAGAGTTAGGGGCCCCATGGTGCCCCCATAGAGGGTGGCGGAGAGAGTGGCGTGGAGGGTGGTGTTGCAGAGTGATGTTGATGGCACAGTTTCAGGGTAACGTGTCCCCTGGGACTGCCACGGAGGATTACGCTAATAAACCTTGGATTGCATGCTGTCCCTGATACGCCGACACGAACATCCCCTTGCCTTGCACTTTGTCCCAGTGAGACGCAATGTGTTTTTCCCTTGTTCAGGAAGACCCAGCTATGTTCCCTCCATGTTCAGGGAGTTCCAACTGGTGTTCCTCGCAGGATCATGGAGGCCCTCTAAGTGTCCTTCGTGTTCAGACAATCCCTGCGTGTGGTCCCTCACTAAAATATACCCAGTGAAAGACTTTAAGAATAACCAGTGCATTAACTCAAGTATCCTCGTATTCTTACAAAAATAGAAGTCTCTAGGATAAGCATTGCCCTTTAAAAAGCAAAGAGTTCACAACAGAGACTAGCCTATTACTAACCAACAACATTCTCAACTCCATTAGCAGAAAGCATAAATATGAAAAAAATATAAGATTTGGTTTTATAACGAGATACCAAGTAAACAGATGTAGGCTAGCGCTCACTAAAAGCCAAAAAAGAAATCCGCATTCAGATACTGTGTTCACGTAAATTCATTAAAACCAAAGACACTATTCTAACTAAACCAATAAACCTTGTATCCTAATAACCGAGACAGTAAATATACTAAAGAACTTCTCAACTACAGGACTAAACCTTGCCAGGGAAAGTCACCAGTTTCCGTGTCCAAGTTAGTGATCATCTTACTGATTATTACCCATATATTCTTTACCTGTCACTAGCTAAGTCACCACAGGTAATTTTAATAGCTTCGCTAAAATACAAAGCATGAAATAAAGCTGAAATCTCAACTTTCCTGTATACAAGGACGCTGTTCGTGTGTTCATGTCTATCATTATAACATAGTTCACCACGTCTGTAAAACTCAAATATAATGAAAGAAGAGGGTCGAGTCGGGTTTTTCTGACGCACTCTTTCAAAATAATTACAAAAGTATCTCCGAATTTGAGGTAAATTTACATAGATCTAATTCAGATGTTAATATCTGTATCAGCCTAATTATTCCAGGGCTAATCATACACACTCACACTGTGACACTACTCAGTGTGTACCCCAGTAATGAGTATAACTTTGTCACTACTAGTGACGGGACGATACCAGAGTTTTTCCCCATACCGATACCTTTCCTATATATTTTTTATAATTAAAATTGTAATAACTATGTTCAGTTTGTAAGGTAATGCTTATTGCACAGTGAGTATTGAATAACACAGGAAGGTTAAATATTAAATAAGTTAATTTCTCCGAATTGAGACTATCATTACTAGGCTTGTTGTGTTAGTTGCTAGTTGTGTGTGTGTGTGTGTGTGTGTGTGTGTGTGTGTGTGTGTGTGTGTGTGTGTGTGTGTGTGTGTGTGTGTGTGTGTGTGTGTGTAACTCTCACAGTCGTGAGAGCACACAAACACAAGTGTAATATTAATATTTTAAAAAGTATCAGCTAATATCGACTGTTTTCTCACCGATACTGTTACTGTAAAAATGACCGATACCGATACTAAAGCACATTCATAGTTACTGCTTTGTTTCTTTCCCCGGTAATGATGATAACTCGCCATTACTACATGCTTACCCTCAGTAGTGACTTAACTTGTCACTGCAGTAATGATTATAACATGTCACTACTTGTATGCCATCAGTAATGATTATAACATGTCACTACTATATGTCTACCATCAGTAATGATTATAACATGTCACTACTATATGTCTACCATCAGTAATGATTATAACATGTCACTACTATATGTCTACCATCAGTAATGATTATAACATGTCACTACTATATATCTACCATCAGTAATGATTATAACTTGTCACTACTACATGCCTACCTCTCAGTAATGATTATAACTTGTCACTGTTCCTACGTCCCATTAATGATTATAACTTCTCACTACTGTATTTATACCCCCAATAATAATTGTAACTTAAATTGACATTACTGCATTGTATTCTGTCTCAGTGTTGCCATCTCTGATTTAATATATATAGGATTTTGTTACTGTAGCTAAAATAATCATTACGGTTTTCAATAATTCTATACTTAGACGACGTATTATTAAATTTGGCATTTAGATAATCAGCTGTTTAGTGTAAAGTAATTTTAAATCTGGTTGTAGGCTGTTAGAAATGCTCTGCGTTACTGGGGCTTTTTCAGAATTTATGAAAGCTTTCACCTAATTTTGCAGGTGATGTATATTTTGAGAATAAAAGTGAGGTGGCTACAGTGTTGTGGAGGTAGGCTGTATCCAATGGAGGTAGCCCTTATTCACTAGAGGTATAGTCCTTATTCAGTGGAGGTATAGTCCTTATTCAGTGGAGGTATAGTCCTTATTCAGTGGAGGTATAGTCCTTATTCAGTGGAGGTAGTCATTCTGTAGTATAGTCTGTGCATGGAAGATAGTACTTATTCAGTAGGTGGTGTTGTTATGCAGTGAAGGTAGTACTTTTATGATGGAAGTAGCACCAAGGATGCAATATTCGCTATCTTTGTACAGTGTCGATAGTATTTATGCAGTGTAGGTAATCTTTGTATACAGTGTAGAATGTTGTATTTAGCGTGTACTTGTGGAAGAATAATTGCATGTTCTCAGATTCTTTGAGCAGTAATGCTCGTTGATATCTGCACTTTCTGCTGAGAAACTTACGTGGAATCACTTTGTTTGCTAATGTGCATTCCTTTCTTTGTTTCAGGTATGTAGCTGTGGAATGCGGTGTTTAGGTGCTGACGTGTCCAGTGTTGCATCTGTGTGGCCCACCTGCCCTGTCTGCCTGCAGCTGACTCCTACAACACTCCTTCTGGCCTCCTACACCAGTCCTTGCCCAGCCCTACTTCACTAGTTCTCCTGACGACCAACTCGTCCTTCTCCTTGCCTCACTCCTCACTTCCCGTAGGTAAATCCTTTCAGTGTCCCATAATTCGCCATCTGCAACTCCGTTATCCTTGCCTCTCCCTTCTTTATCCTCTCCTCGTTACCTCTCACTGTTGCTCCACCCTGCATTAACTGTTATCTGTGTCAGTGTATCCCTCCTGCTATAATTGTAAATGTCATCTTCGTAATCCTGTAGCTGTAATCCTCACACTTCCTTTCCCTTTTACCTATAATTGTCTTAATCTTTTTCTTCTTGATATTTAAACAATGACAGATGTGCTTCTATATTACACGGTACACGTAGAATAGACATAGACTATTATCACGCCAGTGGTTCTAAGATAGTTTCAGTAACTTCAATTCTTGTTAAAGGTTCTCGTAAACAAGCAACGTATCGTACAGCCGCAGTCCAGCTGCTTTAGTCAAGTGTCATTGTGACGGTATTAGATCTTCTCGTCGTACATACCTCCCTTGTTAATTCTTAAGTCTTAGGTGAATACTCAAGAAGCTTTTCTTCAGTAATCTCAGTACAGAGAAAATAGCAAGGTTTAGGAAGGTAGTTCATTCTTGTGTAGTTATCAAGGGCCACAGCATTGGTGTAGATACCAAGGATCTCATCACTGGTGTAGATACCAGAGGCCACAGCACTGGTGTAGATACCAAAGGCCACAGCACTGGTGTAGATACCAAGGGCCACAGCACTGGTGTAGATACCTAGGGTCACAAGACTGGTGTAGATACCAAAGGACACAGCACTGGTGTACATACCCCCGACTCCACCACCCGGCGACCAACTTCAGCACTTACGTTGAAGTTTTCTCCACAACTTGTCTCAGTCTGTGCACAACAAGTTTACACAAAGTTAAATAAAGTATTGCTTGTTGCAGCACGCCGTCTGCCATCCACGAGTACTTAGTAACACTGTATAGCTTGTCACACTTAAGTCACGAAAGCTGCATTTTTTCCCCATATCTCACTCAACGGGGTCATCAGCATTTTTTCATGTATATGTATATATATATTTTGTCTTGTAGGCCAACAAAAATCTTTGGTAGGTAGTTGTTAGAGTATTAATGTCCAGGCCTAGTGTATTACCTCTCAGCAGTACAGTATCATCTGGAAACTGATGTAAGGTTATATGCCTGATGGCACTGGTCTCTTTCTGAATATTTATACAGTAAACCCAAGTACAACTGTAGGTAAATGTAAGCTTGTATTCTTTTAGCGTACGGGAATAAAGTAGTTGAGGTGATAGTTGTTAATGTTGTCCAGGAAGGAGGAGGAGTCTTCTAGGTGAGTCCACTGACTTACCTGTGATTGGTTCCTAGAGTTCTGTCTTCAGTGGCGCCTCTTGTCTCTCTCCACTGTCTTAATCTCTTCTTTATTTGCCCTCATGCTCTTGTCTCCAGCTGTGCATCCCAGGCCTCATTAATCCCTCACTCCTCGACCCATCCCACATACCTCTCTTCCTTGTCCCTGGGGTCCCTGTGACCGAGACCCTGTGGTGGTCGGGGTGGTCTCCTGCGGGCTCGTGCCACGGTTGGGCGGGCGTGGTGCGGCCCCCACAGCAGCACATCCGTGTGCAGCAGCCACAGGCAGCAGCAGTACAGCAGCAACAGCAGGCGTGGTATTCACCGCACCTGCCGTGTCGCCTGGTCCCGCCCTTCACCACCACCATGGCCGCTCCATGTAAGGTTGTCAGTGTTGTGTGCATGGCGGCCCCCCGCAGCTCCTTTCCCGACGCTTGTGACCGTCCCTGTTACACAACATCCACCACGCCTACGCCCGCACGCCCATTCCACCACTGCGTGTTGGTACTAGTGTATATACTGCTTGTGTACTGTAGCGCTGCTTCAAGTTTGCATGAGTGTACAGGCCCAGTAAGCCTGGTTGCCATCATGTGGTGCTCCGAGTCGCTCATGCAGCAGGTGTTGCATCACTCTGTTATGGTAGTACACGGTGACTCCAACACACACGTTTGTTAGTAATGTGTTGGAGTGAGTGGCACTCCTGACTGACGTGATGGGTAATGCATGTTTGCGGTGCACCGTGATGTTTCTCAGGTTGATCTTGCAAGTCTGCAATGTTGCTCTTGTCTAGTGTATCACAAAGTTCCCCTCTCCTCCATCCCAGGGTCATCCCTCACCACCACCACCATCTACGACCCGGTAAGTGACTTCTCTTCCATATTTCCGCTTCGTAAGTTACGCTTTCAGAATGTCCATTTTTTCTCATTACAATCTTTTATTCATTACATTATTACATAAGTAATTATATGAATTATATATATCTTACCAATGTATATTTAATATTTTTAAGAGGTTATCAATGGTAAGTTAACGAAACTCAGCCATTTTGAAGTTGAAATGCCCTTTTTTTTTTTTTCTGACCATTTTAAATTGTGAGCCGGAAGGCTCAGTTTTTTTTTCCTTTATTTTCTTAACGTATTTCTGTGGCCACAATAACGGTTCTTTGATAACAAAGAGGGGGCTTTTGAGCAATGGAATTGGATTTGTCATACAGATGACTACATTCAACGCTTATCAGTTCTCTTGTGTTGAATGTAATTCTCTGCATGACTTGAAAATTTGCACTTAGAGCGAACTGTTGTGCATAACAAGTACTTGTTGAGTGTTCTTGTATCTCTATCTGCATACCTAAAGACGAGTATGCAACGTGAGGTGACGTTATTTCTGGCTGGACACGTTTCCCCCATCCAGTTACACTGGTAAATACACAAATAACCCGCACATAGAGGAGAGGAGCTTACGACGACGTTTCGGTCCGACTTTGACCATTTACAAAGTCACGCTATGTGACTTTGTAAATGGTCCAAGTCGGACCGAAATGTCGTCGTAAGCTCCTGTCTTCTATGTGCGGGTTATCTGTATCGTTCCAGTCACGGTATTGTGCCTTTTTTTGTTATTTACACTGGTAAAGCTTCTGGTGGGCGAAACGTTTCCTGTAATAAAGTTACCTCATGTTGCATACCTTGTTTTCATAAGTTTCTCTGTTATATATACATGGAGGCTCCAACTATCGACGTTGATGCATTCTTGGAAAATTGATGGTGATGTCCACATACCAGAGGAAATTGGAGAGGTATCTTCACCAGGTGCCGGATCAGTCAGGCTGTGATGGATATGTGGATCAGCAGACCGCCAACAGCAACAGCCTGGTTACCAGGCTAACACTAGACGAACCAGGCTCCAGGAGTAGAAAAACTCTCGGAACTCATCAAAAGTATAAAGTGGGTGTTATCCTCTCTAACCCATGACGTGGGTTGACTGGAGGTTCCTCTCTCATAGGCCGCTCAACATAGTAGAGTTTCGCGTGCCTCTAAGTGTGACTCGGCCATAGGCCGCTTATAATGCCAAGACGACGTAGGCTTTATCCAGCAAACCTACAAATTATTTCAGACTATAATTTATACAATTGTTCTAACAGATATTCTTCAAATAGTGCTATACATGGTGTACAGGAGGGTCCCGCTTATACAGCAGGTTAGGTTCTGGGCTACCGCTGTAGAGCGTAAATTGCTGTAAAGTGAAACATAGCCTTGTTTTACTTTCAAACCCATATGAAAGCCTGATAACGTCTTAACACTTATCATATATTAAGTGAGCAATATAGCTAGGCCTAAATAATGCATATACAGTACACACGTTTCTTATCTTAAATTATTTTCTTTCTTAGAGTGAATATATTTATTGTAGGAAGTCTGAATAAATGAAGAATAAGTGGAATTGAAAACCGCTGTATTAGCGAAACACTGTAAAGCGAAGTGCTGTAAAGCGGGGGAGGGGCTGCGGGCATATATTGGTAATCAGTATTATTATTGAAGGAAATGTGGTAAACCCGTATGGGGCGTACAATTATTATAAAACAATCTTAGTGTATTGTGAGTGTAAGTAGATATTTGTAAGACTCAGCTCTAATCTTACGGTTTCATGAGACAGATAAGACCATCAATGCTGGCAGAGTGCAAAACATTTAACACGCTTCCGTTTCATACGTGCAGGAGGATGATTAGTACCTCCCTGGCCGGTTGGTGTCTTACCAATCTACTCTCTACATCTCTTCAAAATATGCAGATTTTTACCTAGAATAACCTAAGAAAGTGGGCGTGGCTCACTTCCATTAGAGTTGTCACTTGTTCGTCTGCTACGTAGACTTAAACCAGGAGGAGGAAGAAGCAAGGAGTAAGAGTAGGAGGCAGTAAACGTGGTAAAGGTGAGACAGTTGAGGCAGTAATATCTTGGTGGAAGCTGCAGGCTTTCTCTCTCTCTCTCTCTCTCTCTCTCTCTCTCTCTCTCTCTCTCTCTCTCTCTCTCAAGGAAGGTCACATTGGGGTGTCATTAAGCGCGCACACTGGAAGCTCTCATCTCCTTGTGCTGAAAGTTCTCACATTGGCACACTGAAGCCCATTGTTACGACCAGTTGAAACCTCTTGCTGCAATATTTGAAGCCCATTGTTACAACCAGTTGAAACCTTGGCATAGTGAATCCCACTGTTACAACCAAGTGAAACCAATGCCAGGAATATTTACCTCCTTCGATATTATTTGTTTATATGGTGGCAGTGTAAGGCATGATGGAAGAAAACCCTGAGTGAATGTGTGGAGCATCTCAAGTGGGATAGGATAGAGGAGAAGGGAGGAGAAATGGGGAGAAGGCATAAGTGGGAGGAATAGTGGAGAGAACAGAGATTATTAGAGAGCTATAAGGAAACCCAAATGTGAAGAGCAGGAAGGAGTGAGAGAGGCTGGGTGTATTTCTAGCATCTTCCTAGAAAGCGTTAAGAAAGCATGGTAAACGATTGTGGTAGATAACAGCTCTTAGCTTGTACAATAAGGTAGTATATCATAGCCAGAGCTATTGTGTAAATAATGAGAGAGAGAGAGAGAACGAACGAAGGAAGTTTGTGAGAAGTTAGTGTGGAGTGGAGGTGTGTGGGGATGGCGGAGATAGTCTCATTACCTTTACTGTGAGGCTGGCGGCCTCCACAGCACATTACCCGCACCATTCCCGCCCCGGGGATTATACTCCTTCCCATCAAGGATTTTCTCATCTAACAAATATTGTCCTGTTATCGACGTGGTTGCCACGCCCCCCTCAAAAGAAAAAAGCCACCTTTTTGGGGGCTTCAGAATTTTGGTGAACCCATTAATCGCTGGCAACCTCTCTCGTTCTCCATGTGCTGTATAACCTCTATGGGTTTGGTTCTGTCCTGGTAATGTAATATTTTTAATGGTATAAATAGAAGTAATTATAACCTGGTTGTGCTTTCTAAATATATAGTTATAGGAGTCGAGGCTCATGGTGTCTAGACTCTTGTAATAAATTATGATTTATATATATATATATATATATATATATATATATATATATAATATATATATATATATATATATATATATATATATATATATATATATATATATATGCAAAACAACCACTCTGAAAGAATAGAGAAATTCCAAGCGCTTTCGTGACTACTCACATTATCAAGGATGTGAGTAGTCACGAAAGCGCTTGGAATTTCTCTTATTCTTTCAGAGTGGTTGTTTTGCATATTTTGAAATCACCTGTTTACTGTGATCTTATTGCATATATATATATATATATATATATATATATATATATATATATATATATATATATATATATATATATGTATGTATATATATATGGGTTCCACATCTGGTGTAAATTGTGGGACCCATAGCCTCGGAGAAAGTGGATAAAAAGGCTTCAAGGAAGAGTATTTGGATTTCTTCCTGAAGCCGTTTAAATATTCCACTTCCCCTACCACCCCATCTTTTCATTCTTATTTACCAATAGGTATATTTTATTACATAATATGGTACAAAAGGTTTAAGAGATACATTGTTGATATATAAAGATGGCATATACAGTACATGAGATGTGAGAGATACATGTCTAGTACATATTGTTACGTGTTTGTCACTGTTTATAATGCAAAAATCTCATCCAGTTCTTCAGAACTGGGGCACGTGCCCAAAATACAGCAGGCATTACCCCTCTGAACAACAGCGCTGAGTCGCTGGAACAGAAAACTAGCTGCCCTGGGATCCCTAGTTACCCTGATGAGTCTTTTGCCCAGCTCCTTAAGGAACTTAGATGCACTCTTTCCCCATGAGCCAAGGGTCTCTGAGCCTATGGGAACAAACATATAATGATGTGCAAGTTCTCCATATTTTCTAGACTTTTGGGACTCCCTGAAGCTGGCAGCTGCCCCTCCTTGCTCCCTGGTGTATTGAAGATAGGTATCAGCCAAGGTAGATGCACATGTGTAGTCCCACACCACCTGCTTACCGTCTGTCCAGGCTTGAAGTGTGATACCATCTGGACGCTTCTGGCTGCCATCAGATCTGCATAGTTGGGGTGGCTCCCTTACTGCTGGGGATCCGGCTGTTGTGAGGCTCCTCTTGATAATGTTATTATACCTCCTCATGTCTTGCAATCTTTCCCTCGGATTTACGGCACACAAGACCATGGTACCCGAATCGGTCTGCTGCTTCACTGCCACAAATACATCTGTGTTCGGCGAGAATAGGGGCGGCAAGTCGAAGGGCAACACCAGTGCGGATGGTCTGTGGGTCGAGCCGTGTGCCAAGGCAAAACAACCACAGGGGGAGTTGAATGGTAGCTCTAGGCCTTTTCTGTTGCAATCAGTACATCAGGAGCTTACAGTGTTGCAGAAATGAGTAAGAGATCCCAGTAGATTCACGCAGAGGAACGTTCTTGCTAAGAATGAGGAAGAAGCAGCTCAGTGCCCCAGGCACACAAGTTCCAAGTGCCAGAAAGAGTGAGCATTATAGGAATAGAGGATAGACAGTCCACAAGCAAAGGTAATAGAGTGATTACCTGGCGAACACACACACACACACACACACACACACACACACAGTCAGGTGGAAAGTACAGAATATTGATACAGACATGTATATTAAACAGTTGGAAATTGTCACCTCTGAAAATTATATATTTTTTGCCAGTTGGAAGACACTGTTGGTATTTGTATACAAGTTTTTGTGTCTTTTACGGAGGTGATTTTAATATTTTTTCACATTACGATCTTGTGGTTAGTTATGTTAGTGTCTGCTAGAAAACAGTGAAGGTGTCAGGATCGTGCCCTGGGGTG